GGGAGCTTTACTTAGTACGTGATGCTGAGGATGGGGTTAAGGTATAAGATATTCTGTTGTTTCTGGTTCAGTCTCTAGTTCCGTTCTCCCATTGGTTGAGGAAGATTATTCCCATCCCCAGGATGAGAAACCGTCCTTCCCGTGGGATACATTGCACACTGTGTACCAGCTGTCCTCCAGCTTCCAGTCGGTGTTCCTGGAGGGAGCGATGGGAATGTACGGCTCCCATTTCACCGGGGCCTCACACTCTGACCAGCCCATTGACTACAGTGCGCATTACAACACCGACTCCACCTTCCACTGTGTCAAGTGTAACAAGGTAACATGGACCAGGGTGGAGCAAGGCGGGGAAGTGCACGGATGGGCAGTGTAGGGCAGGGAGAAACAGGGAGGGGCAGAGCATTGCAGGAATGTGCTGTGCCACTCCAATCAACAAGAGTGACCCCCCCCCCACCAGCCCTGGCCCCTGACAACTCTATCACAATGCTTCTACCCAAAACTGGAACAACTAGATTAGATTCCAGGCCCGAGGGCTGGAGCAGAATTGGGGAGAATTATTTGGGGGTGGGAGCCAGCCCAATGTCTGACACGTGCGGAAACCCATCACCACGTTTAAGAGTCTTCAAACCAGACTGAGGATTCCCCCCAAAACTGCTCCACCTGAATTAATATGGAATGGGATTGAACTGGGAGGAGGATTGGAATGTGGGATTGGAGTGGGATAGGATTGGATGGGGCGAGATTGCCTTCTTCTTTGCATCACAGGATTTAAAGTTTATTCAAATTTAAGATCGGTTAATCCAAAATCTGTCAATCCAGAAGATCCTGTTTAACCTGCGGAAATCCAGCTTCAAAATAGAAACGGTATTGAGAATGGTCTCCAATCAAGGAGGTGGGGGGGGGGAAGAAATCAGAGCCCAGATCCCATCCCGAGCCACCGGCTCCATGCCTGGAGAAGGAAACATTTTCCCAAATTGGGGGTAGTAATTCCTAAAATAAATTGGCTGCTACGTTTTGCCCACAAAATATACAGTCACTACACTTCACAGTATATTCTGTGAAGCGCTCTGAGATGTCTCGATGATGTGACCAGGCGTTATATCCAATGCAAGGATTATATCCAATCCAAACTATATCCAATCCAATGCAGTATATTTCATTTTAAAAGTGGGAATGTGCAGGCCTGGGAGGGAGGGGGGATGAGGTGGGAAGCTGTGGGTGATGTCAGTGCCTGTCTCTCTCTGCTCCTCACAGGCCTTCTCCACGTCTCACGGTCTCGAGGTCCACGTGCGGCGCTCGCACAGTGGGATGAGACCCTTCGGCTGCGACGTGTGCGGCAAGATGTTCGGGCACTCGGTCAGCCTGGAGCAGCACCTCCACACCCACTCCCAGGTACACAAGTTCCCACCTCGCCTCCCCCCCCACCCCCCCAGCAAACTCCGCTCCCTGGGTACACTCCCCCCCGGTACCCTCCCCCCCCCCCCCCCCCCACCCCTCCATTAAATTAATTCCCAAACCATCAGACTAATGGCCAGTGTAACTCACTGCATCCCAAGCTCACAGATATTGAACCGGAACCTTTTACCTGTTTTGACCCTGTTTTCCCCCACTCCCCTCCCCCCGCCCTCGGGAAACGTTTGAAATGTTTTCCTACGTGAAAACCAGGGGTTTGGCTACAAAAGGCAAAACACTGCAGATGCTGGAAATCTGAAATAAAAACTCTGGGAACACAACACTCAGTAGGTCAGGCAGCATCTATGGAGAGAGGAAAGTGAGGCGCGGACAAAAGGTCATCGACCTGAAACGTTAACTCGCTTTCCCTCTCCATAGATGCTGCCTGACCCATCTGCTGAGCGTTCCCAGCCACTTCTGTTGCTATTATTGTCCGTTAGGTGTCGAGATCCCTGTTAATTAATTCTGACCAGTGAGCGAGTGTGCGTGTGCGCGTGCGTGTGCGTGCGTGTGTAAGAAGGAAACGTTCCCGTCTCTTTTTGCAGGAACGAAGCTTCGAGTGTAAGATGTGCGGCAAGACATTCAAGCGTTCGTCAACGCTCTCCACCCACCTGCTCATCCACTCGGACACACGGCCCTACCCGTGTCAGTACTGTGGCAAACGTTTCCACCAGAAATCAGACATGAAGAAGCACACGTACATTCACACAGGTCAGTCCCCTCAACAACCACAACAACAACTTGCATTTATATAGCGCCCCTCCCGCAGGCTAGCGTCCCGAGAGCGCTCAACAGTGGCGGAGCACTGTGGGGAGGTGACCGTAGAGGAAGGTTCTTCGGGCGCGATCTGAAGATACAGTACAGAATACAGAATTACATTTGGATAGTGCCTTTCGTGTTGGGAGGACGTCCCAAGTCGCTGGATGGGGAAGGAAGATGGGGAAGGAAGGGGCAAGGCGGAGGGATAGAGGAAGAGTGTTCCAGTGTTTGGAGCTGAAAGAGAGCCAGTCGAGCGGAGGCAACGGGTTGTGGGTTTGGGGGTTGAGCAGGTCGGAGAGGTAGGAAGCTGCCAAAACATCAAGGGATTTGAAAACGAGTGTGAGGATCGAGTGTGAATGAGGCCCCACAGGCCCTCTGTACACCCCTCGCACACCCTTCGCTCGCTGGCTCTCTCTCTAATCCCAACCTCTCTGCCTCCAGGTGAGAAGCCCCACAAGTGCCAGGTTTGTGGGAAATCCTTCAGCCAGAGCTCCAACCTGATCACCCACAGCCGCAAACACACCGGCTTCAAACCCTTCGGCTGTGACACGTGCGGGAAAGGCTTCCAGCGTAAGGTGGACCTGCGTCGTCACCGCGAGACCCAGCACGGCTTCAAGTGACCATGGGAGGCACACCTTTACCACCAGCTAAACACTTACACCCCCCACCTTTCACTTTGACTCCCCCCGGCCCCACCCCTGACTCACCTCCGTCCCATGTGGTGTTTCTCTTATCCTTTCGTTTTCACCACCTTCATAGGTCCACGGACAAGTGGTTCACTTCCACATCCATCACTCTGCCTCCGCCCTCGACCCCAGGATCACAGCTCCTCTGACCACCTACCGGTCAGACAGCAGATCTGGGATCTTCCCTCTCTTCACGCCTGACATGTTGTATCGTTCCTGACTCTGTGTGTATTTTTTGGATCAAGAATAAATACATTCTTAAACTATGGAGCTTGTGCTGGACTCGGTGAAGAGACATTAATCAGTCAGCTCAGTCAACTAGCACTGTTTGTACAATCATTGAGTCCAAGTAAAGTAACTAGATTTAACTAGTCATTAGTATTTTACGAGTAAAATAACTCAATTTAGCTGTTGACTTGCGTGTCGGTTTGTCAAGAGTTGCTGTTCTTTGCAACCAAGTATTAAGCTTAGGTCCCATCCACCTGTTCAGATGGACATTAAATATCCCATGGCAATATTGGAAAAGAGAAGTTTTTCCCAGTATCCAGGTCAACAATCCCCCAGATAAAATTGGTCATTCACCTGTTTGGAGGACACTGCTGGTGCAAACTAGTTGCACACTACAATACAATTTGCATTTGAACCACACCTTGGAGGATGTCTCAGTGTTTGACCCTGCTGACTGGTCAGCTGGTGGGAGAGCAGGGGTGATGAGGAGGGGAAAGGTGACCAAAAGAGGTCCGTCCTAGGCTCAAGCAGTTACCCCAACACACATTCTGGGGTTCCCCAAGCCTTGCCTCTTGCCAACTTGTCGGGTAAGCAGGCTGGGTCTCTCCAGGAAGAGAGTGCTCATTCCATTCCAATAAACATCCCTGGAATTTCCATGTGCAGGTGGGATGCAAGGAATTCTCAGTTTGGTTTGAACTCTCTTAAGCATGGGGATGGGTTCCCACAAGTGTCAGACACCCAGCTGTTCCACCCCCACAAAAAAACATTTATATAAATACCGCCCCCACCCCCTTACAGGTTGTGATGGAAAATTGTATGGCATGGAAAACAGAGGGTACAAAGTGCCGCCATATCGTATCAGCATTGCGGGGCTGTCTGAGGTTTGAGGCAGACACTGACTGAGGCATAGTCTGAGAGAGGAGGCAGGGGAAATGCTTTACATATCAAAGTAGCAGAGCAGGATTCCAGGCAATGTTGTTTGCATCGAGAAGCGTGGATTTACAGAGCAATAATAACAATAATCCTTGTGTTTGATATAGCGGCTTATCATGTTGAGACTCTCAAAGCGAGTCATAGAATACTGTGTACTGTAAAGTGGATTGACTGGGTATTTGGTGGGCGAAATGAGGCACTGGTCCAGGACAGGGCCTGAAGGAAGTTACCAGGGAAATGGTCTCATCCTCACTCTCTACGGTGGGGGAGTGGAATTTTATTTTGAACAACAATTTTTGGGGGTTTTTGCCCTCCCTGATCCCGACCCCAAGCTCGGGTCCGAAATACTGATTGTCCAGCGCCTTAGGACGTCCTCCCGACATGGAAGGTGCTGTACAAATATAATTTTGTTGTTATTGTTACATATCTTGTTAGATCCGAGATCTAAAATTCCCCCTAAGCTTGTAAGGTGATTAAATTTAAGATCGCACAGAATTGTGTAAAATTCTTATACCCAGAAACTGCGGAAAAACAGCTTGCAACTGAATTCAAGAATTTTCAGTTCTGTTCGGTATTGAATTTAATGATAAGAACGCTTTTAACGTGTTACGTCGAGATGGAATTTTAAGCTCTTGAAGTCCATTATACAGAATGACAAGTGGAAGAAAGAATTCTTATTGACTCTACTTTTCACAGGAAGTGGTTTAAAAATAGGCACCATAGATGGTTTGTTGGTTTCATTGCGTTTGCCTTGAACAACATGTTATCGGAAATCTGGGCCTTTGTGGGTGTTCGACCAAATGTCCTAAAGTGACTGAAAGCAAGGATACACAAAATACACAGTCAATTCACTTTACAATATATCCTGTGAAGCGCTTTGAGACGTCTCGAAGACATGATAAGGCGCTGTATCAAATGCAAGGATTATTATTATTATAACAACAACTTACATTTATTTAGCACCCTTGGTAGCATCCCATTGCCTGGTGGAGAAAGGCACTACCCAGTGAGCATCGAATCAACAGGCCAGGTAGTCACAGCCTCACTTACTATTCTGGGCTGGGTTAGGCTGATCACGCAGAGGGTGATGAGGCTACAATTCCTCCCAGTGCAGGAGTTTGTACAGCGCTGAAAGAGTTACAGTATGCTTGTCCTCATCGCCTCAGCCCTGGGCGTGCAGCGACAATCTCTGTGTGTAACGTACCTCCACCATCAGCTCCGAGTCAGGACATCTGATCCCAGTTACAACTCTGCTTGTTTGACAGACAAATTTCTTCAGGTGGGGCTTTGGGAGGGGAGGCGACAGGCAGTAATCAATGTTGCAGAGGCACCCATTCATTCACAAAATACACAGTCACTACACTTTACAGTGTGTCCTGTGAAGGGCTTTGAGACGTCTCAACGGCGTGATCGGGTGCTGTATCAAAAGCGCCTGATTATTAGATTATAATCATGAAGTTGGACAGTGTCTGAGTTTCAGGCTGAGCCAAATCCATCGGTTAAGAATCAGAACCGTTGCAACACATTAAACTTCATCCCCCTCCACCCAACTCCCAGCCCTCCAACCCAAACCCAGGCCTGCATTGGGGTGTCATCTTAGACGATGTGAGTGGAGCCTGCGCCCCCAAACCCACTGACTCAGAGGCCCTTCTCTTCCTCTGCTTTAATCACCTGCCGACGCTTACTGTCTATGCTTAAACCAATCAGTCAGACAGACAGCGAGAGAGAGACCCCCAGGACCAGTCCTCAACAACAATAACAACAACAACTTCTATTTACACAGCACCCTTCACGCAGGGCAGCGTCTCAGAGCCCTGCTCAGTGGCGGGGTGGGACACCAAGTGAGGGAGAAGGGGAAATGACCAGAGGTGTGGTCAAAGAGGTGGGATTTAGAGATAGATCGGGTGGTGGTCAGGGAGTTCTAAAGGTTAGTGATGCGGTGGCTGAAGGTACGGCCGCAGATAGTGGAGCAGAGGGGTGACTGGACTGGGACGTGAAGCTGGCGTGCGTTAGCTGAGCAAAGGGTGGGGAGCGGAGTGGGGTTAGGAGCAGGACAGAGAGGATGAGTGGATTTTTACGTGAGGGTGAGGAGCTGGAAATTGATCCTTTCCACAAGGTAAGGCTGATCAGCATTAACAGCCCAGCGCGGGTGGAATCAGTGACCTGCCAACCACAGCTTGCAAATCAGCAGCTAAAACCATGGATGCAGTGGTTGAATGACCAGTGTAGTCTGCTGGGAAGCTTCTAACCAGCTCTCAGCAGACATAAAGTGGTCATTCAACCCCACCCTTTGCTCAGCTAACACTAACCGTGGGCAGCAATATGGCAATGAGAGATAAAGTGCGGCTCCTGATTTCTGCTCCTATATTGGGCTGACAGTGAGCGGCCATTTAAATGGATGGCTCAATAACCCTGTATCTGTCTGTGCGTCTGTCTGTCAGATTCTGCACACGGCAGAGAGCAAATCAACAGGCAATAGAGTGACAGGATTGAATAGTGGCAATAGAATTTCTGGCAATAGAGTGACAATTTGCACACAGCAATGTCCCACAGACAGCCATGAAGTGAGTGAGTGATTGATTTTATTTGGGGGACTGTTGGCCTGGACACCAGGAGATAGAAGCTCCCTTCTCTCCTCTGATAGTTCTGCTGGACGCTTAACATTCAGCTGAACAGGTTTAATGTCTCATCTGAAGGACGGCACCTCTGACAATGCAGAGCTTCCCCAACGCTGCACTTGAATATCAGCTGAGACTGTGAGCTCAAAGTCCTGGACCCAGGGCTTTAACCCACAACTCCTGACCTGGAGCGTGGCTGACAGTCAACAACAAATTACACTTACACAGCATCAGCCTTTCACGTCAAGAGAATGTCCCAAGGCGCTGGACTGTCAGAGATTTGGACCCAAGCTGGGAGATGGGATCAGGAGGGGTGGAGGGCAGGGAGGGTGGGGGTAGGAGGGTGAATGAAGACCCGGTCGAAAAGGAAGATTTTGAGACGGGCTTTGAAGGAGGCAAGGGAGGGGGCGAGGCAGAGGGACTGTGTGATGGAGTTCCAGATGGTGGGGACAGAGAGACTGAACACCTGACTGCCGATGGTGAGGTGGGACGAGAGGGGGACGTGGGGCACGCTAGAGCCTGCAGAGGTATTGAAGCCATTAGTAATCAGTCATTCAGTTTGATGCTGGAAAATCTCAATCAGCGTGAGAAAAGCAGGCTCTTTGTTATCAGGGTATCTGACTGTAACTGGGAAATAGCACAGCACTCCAGAACAACTTTGGTTAACAAATGAGAAATGCAAAGTCACTGTGCTGCTCCCGTCTTCCTGTCAAACAGCAGAACAGCCCAGCTCAGCACAGTCCAGCCCGGCCATCACACAGCTCAGCGACACAACCCCAAAGGGCTCGGTCACACGGTCAATCCACAAACTGCCAACCCTCCTCACCCATTGCTCCTCATCCCTGCCCTCCTGCTCATCCACCCTTTCTCTCCTCCCCTCCCTCTCTCCCACACTCACTCACTCACTCACTCACTCTTTACCTCATTCTCTGTTGATCCTCTCTATCTCTCTCTCTCTGTCTCTCCCTCACTCATCCCATTCTTTCTCTCCTTCACTCCTCTCTCTTTCTCTCTCTTCCTCCCTCAACTCTCTCTCCCTATAGCATAGATGTATTTAAGGGAAAGCTGGATAGGTACATGAGGGAGAAAGGAATAGAAGGTTATGCTTGAAAGCTGAGTTGAGGAAGGGCAGGAGAAGGGTCATGTGGAGCATAAACACCGGCAAAGCCCAGTTGGGCCAAATGGCCTGTTTCTGTGCTGTATATTCTAATGTATTCTAATGTATTCCCTCCCTCAACTCACTCTCGCTCTCTCCCTCCCTCACTCGTGAGCAGAAAGCCCACCAGAGCAAGCTAGGAATGGAGTGAGCTGGGACAGAGTGATGCCTCTACAACAGGAGTTTGGAGAGAATGGGAATTCACTGCATAGGGGGAAGGAGGTGAAGACATCCCAAAGTGCTTCACTCTGTCCTTCACTC